AAAAAAAAAAAAAAAAACCAAGGCAAAATAGATGAAGAAAAAAAGATTGAGTTAAAAAAAAAAAAAAAAAAAAAAAGCCAGGCATAATGATAGATGCCTTTATTCCCAGATCTCTGTGAGTTTGAGACCAGCCTACAGAGTGAGTTCCAGGACAGCCAAAGCCGATACACAAGGAAACCCTGTATTGAAAAACAAAACAAAACAAAGTTTCTATGTGAGTGTTTTGCCCATACATGTGTGTTATATAGTTGGTGAGCTGCCATGTGAGTGATGGGAATTGAACCCGGGTCCTCTGGAAGAGCAGCCAGTGCTCTTAACCACTGAGCCACCTCTCCAGCCCCTCTAGAGTATTCTTTTTGTTCTTTCATCTACTTTGTAAAATTCCTTTTCCACACACATGAAAAAAAATCTGTTAAAACGTTAATATTTTTCCATCTCCCTTTCTCTTGCAGGTGGAGTGGTTTCATCTTAATATCAGAGAATCTAACCGGACTCATCCACATCTTTTCCAGTTTACTGACCCTCCCTATAGTATGAACATGTTAGGTCATTTACTTCTGGGACTCCATCCTTGGGACCTTCTGGATGCTCTTTTGAACAGCACCATCTCATCTCTTTCCTAAGACCTTGACTGTGCGGTGTCTAGTCACAGTCACCTGCCTGATGGTTACCTGATGTCCAACCTAGAACACAGGAGACCTTTCCCTCCGCTCCTCACTCCAGGGGTGAGCACGCGGCGGTAAGTGTTAAACAAATGCCCAAGATCACGTAGCTGCCTGGCTATTTTTCCAAATTGCTACAGTTTGCCTAATAATAAACCTCAAACTAGAATTAAACAAAATAATAGTTAGGCTGGGCATGGTGGCACATGCCTGTAATCCTAGTACTCAGGCAGCTGAGACAGCAAGAATGTGAGCGTGAGGCCAGCCTGGGCTACATAGTGAGATCTTGTCTCAAAAACACAAAACAGTGAAGAACTAACTCTTGCTAAATAACTCGCATCGATTCCTGCCTTGGAAAGAGGTAATACAGTTGATAGATATCAGGCCAGATTCCTCACTACTGGCTTGTTTTGAAATATGGAAGCTTGAAAGTTATGTATGATGGGTTAAGGTCCACTTATCTTGTTCTTTCTTAATCTTGGGGGCGTGGGGGGGGGTAGTGTAACAAAAGGACATAGTATAGGTCGGCCCTTGCCCTAGAGGGGCAACACCAGTCTTCACTCTGCTTTTTGGTCCTTGGTGTGATCTATGCAGCCATCACCAGGGTCCTAAGATACAGTCAGCTCCACAAGGCAAGTGCAAACCAGTTGGTCCCGCACGACTTCCCCAGCCTGCGGAAGCTCCACTAGGTGACCTCCCTTTCGGAATTCTGACGATGGCCTGGAACTTCTTCTCACAGAGATGCATGCAGTCTTCATCGAGGCCAGCAGTGCAATCCGAAGAGTTCTTCCATCACCGGCCCTAAGGTTCCAGGGTGCGAGTGTGTGCGTGGAGGCGGGAGGGGACGGAAGCTGGTGGTCCCCAAGGCCGAAGCAGACCCAAGAGCTTGGCCATCTGAACCTGGAACTGGCGCAGCCGGTAGGACCAAGCGGCGCAGACAAAGACAGCCGGCTCCGCAGCCGGCTCCCACAGTCCGATCGCACGTTCTGCCTCACCTTCTCGGGAGCCACCCAATGAGGCCTCAGCCTCTCCCAGGAAACGGACGGCAGCGGCGGGCCAATGGGAGGACGGGCTGGCGAGGGGGGCGGGCCTGTCCCGGAGGCCCCGCCCCCGGGTCCGCAGGGCTGGGGCGGAGCCAGACTCGCGTCAGGTGGTCCCGGGCG